TTTTTGTTTTTGCAAACTAATTTTCAATGATTATATTTGCAGGACTGTCGACAGTTTCTCAATTGCCTAAACAGCAGACTTGGTGACCGAAGAAGGTAAGGTGTGTGTCTGGGCTTTGCATGGTTTCCTGGGTGGCTTCTGTAAAGGCCCAACAACAATCAAGTCCAAGAACAATCAGGACCATTTCCTTCTCCTCGGCGTGGCAAGGATACAGGATGCATAATCGACCGAGCACTGTTCAGTTGTCTGTTGAGTACAGACTTCAGAAAATCAGACCCAGCGACTCATTGGAGTATGCTTTAAAATGATCTCTCTTTAGGCTTTTAGTATATTTATTTATGGTTTGGGTAAACACAAAATCCCCCCAGAGATTTTATAATGAGCAATTTCCTAAAGGCTCAACGGCAGCGGGGAGTTTGCATTATGGACAGTAAGTTCCTGATGAGAAACATTTGCCAAATTCAGCCCTCTTGTTGAGGAACTTGCTAAAATGCCGCCTTGAAGTGTGGTCCCAGTAAATGTGGCTGGAAGGCCGGGCGGTACAAAAGGTGACTGCCCTTGGTTGCTAATGGAAAGGTTGGCGGTTCACACCCTACTCGATGGTGCCTCAGAAGAAAGGCCTGCCAATTTAGTTTTCAAAAGTCAGCCATGGGAGCCCACTCCTTTCTGACTTCTGGGGTTGCCACCAGTTGGAGCTGACTCTGCCAAGCACTTATTTAAAAAGGAAAACAAAACACTGGCTTATTTAAAAACTGGCCAGGTGGAAGCCCACCCACCATTTGCAGGGTGAGACTCCTTGCCATGCACTGTAAAAAGAGACTCCAGGGCATACGCTGGGTATAAATGCTTGTTTGTAGATCATCTTTAGGTTGGTGTGGGGCGCACCCTCTGTTATTTTTTTTAACCGTGGCGCGTGTGTTGCAGGGTCTATACATTTCCATGCATCTCTGCTTTCGCTGATGACCATGAGGTACGTCTCCCTCTCCCCTCTCCCTGGCTCCTGAGGGTGGTGTGTAATAAAACCCAGAGGAACACTTCTGGAGTCAGGTCAGCTTCCACTCTTGCGACTGAGCAGGGCTTGTGGAACCAAGGAGCGAACTTGTAACGAGAGCTCCACTTTGAAATGTAGCATCCCCTAATCTTTCTTACACCTGTCCTTCTGTGGCTCGATGGAGCTCCCGCTTGATACAGTTGACCATTGACCGCTAACTGAAGGTCAGGGATGTGCAACCACATACAGGTGCCCTGGTGGGACATTAGCCATCGCAAGCTTCTGGAGAAGCAACCACTGACTACCCTCCGGGCTATCATGTTTATTCTGACACGCCATGAGTTGGCGTTGCCTTGGTGATAACTGTGCTTGTTTGTTTTACTCAGTGATTGACAAAGGGATTTTAGGGTTTGAACTCTACAGGTGAGGTTAGTTATAGGCACTTGGCCTCACTTTAAGGTGCCCTGGCGGTTCTGTACTTAACACTCAGCTGTTAACCAGAAGGTGAGCAGTTAAAACCCACCTGCTGACTGGCAGGAAAGTGAAATGCAGTTTGATTTTGTACCAATTTACAGCCTTGGAAATCCCCTGGGGCAATTCTGCTCTGCCCTTTGAGTCAGAGTTGACTCCTCTGCGGTGGTTTTGTTTGGATTATCCCAGTGGTGGGATCCAGCAGCTCACACTGGTTCAGCAGAACCGTTAACCAAGTTTCTTGATGAGTTCAGCGAATTAGTTGTTAACATAGTG